GTTAACTGGGAGCAACCGACAAAACTAAAAATTTAAAATAACATAAAAAAAATAAAAACGAAAGCTCGGGTTGCCTCCCGAGAAGCGCTAAGTTTAAAGTCTTCAGCCGGACGTTGCTTCTTTAATTTCAAGCAAAAGTGACCGAAGTCACTTGGCAATCTTCACTCGCTCCCCAATACGGTTTGAGCCGGCTCCGTTTTACGTTGAACGTACGATTTGAATCTCGCTCCTTTATTTTAACCACCTCGTGAGGAAGAATTTCTTGGACAATACACGGCCGCGACCATTTTGATTTGCGCTTCCTTGTAAATAACCAAAGACGGGATTTGCACAATAACACCAATTGTCCTTTGTGCAATTCCTCTTTGATTTTCTCCTTACGACCACAATAGCTTGACTCATCCTTCTCTCGTGACTTGCTCGAGCCTTTGGGTGGCAACATCTTCCTTGCATTCTCATCGTCGTTAAGACCTCGACTCGTATGACTTTCTCTTGGAGGATTTAAAATTGAGTCCATGAAGTAAACTTGCTCCGTCCGATTCCCGTTTATGCCATCATCTCCTGCACTCAAAGTTACTGGATCGCCGAGTTTTTGTGGAAGAGGCCGAGTAAGAATTGCACTAATTTGCTCCGTGAGTTGGATCATCTCGTTCCCTTGCAATTTCTTACTTTTCTTTACGAGGTCCTTTAGGAACTTCACCCACTTTGGCATCTTTTGAAGTGCTTCAATGAAGGGAATATTTACGCGAATTTCCTTCAACTTGTCCAAAAATCTTTGATATTCGGCATCAAGCTTCTTCTTTATGAATTTTTGAGGATAAGGAATTGGAGGGACTTGTGAAGGCACCGTCGATGGTGGCTCGTCATGAGATGATTCTTTTTCCTCATTCTTTTTCGGCTTCTCGATTACCGTGCTTCTCTTCTCTTTTCGTGGGGCTTCTTCCAATTGCTTACCGTTCTTCAAGGTGACTGCTTGGCATGTCTCGACCTCGATCTTTTTCGTTAGCAATCTTTGTGGATATGGGATTGGCTCGACCCATTCGGCTACAGTGGCTTGCGGCTTGATTTGAATTTCTTCCCTTTTTGCGCTCTTGACATCGATAGCTTGGCACGTCTCGAACTTTTGATTTCGAGGATCTTCCGTATTCGATGGCAATGCTCCCGGCGGGCGGTTCTCTTGCTTCAAAGCTAATTGAGCGAGTTGATTCTCCAAATTTCGCAACGAGGCTTGGGTAGCGGTCATGAATTGGGCCAATATCTCATCCGTGTTTGATTTTTGGGCCGGTGGATTGTTGCCTTGATAGCTTTGTTGAGGAGGGGCTTGATTTTGGAATTGACCTTGAGGTCTTTGATATCCTTGGCCTTGTTGATTTCCTCCATATTGCCCTTGTGATCTCCACCCTTGATTTTGGAATTGGCGAGGCGCGTTATTGACGTAGTTGAGCGATTCCACATCTTGTTGGCATTGGAGTGTGTAGTGATTTCCACCGCAAATTTCACAACATGGAGATTCGATTGCTTTGACTTGTTGTGGTGGACTTGCTTTGATGTGCTGCAGAAGGAGTTGATTTTGTTGAGCAATTTGGGTCACTTGAGCTTGAAGGGCCGTAATTGCATCTAACTCCAACACTCCGGGAACTTTCTTGGATCCACTAACCGTCCTCTCGCTTGACTTGGCAAACCGATTTTGAGCAATTTGATCCAACATGATGAAAGCATCCGGTATCGATTGACTCATAAAATTTCCCCCGGTTGATGCATCTAAGACCGTTCGTGCATTCTCATTAATCCCTTGATAGAAGATGTGGATTTGCCGCCATTGTTCGACTCCATGTGTTGGACACTGCCGCAAAAGAGTTTTAAATCTCTCCCATGCTTCGTATAATTGTTCGCCTTGCTCTTGGACAAAATTGTGAATTTCTCGTCGGATTCTCTCGTCCTTCTCGGGTGAGCTATAGACTTTCATGAAAAGGTTGAGGAGTTGAGGCCACGACGAGATAGAGTGGGGGGCTTGGGACATCAACCACTGGCGAGCTCTTCCTTGTAGGGAGTGCTTGAAGAGAATTAATTGAAGCGCCTCTTGGGAAACGCCGTTTTGACGGTGGGAATTACAGGTATCTAGAAAATTGACAATGTGAAGATGGGGATCTTCACCTGCCAACCCACTAAATAGCCCGTTATTTTGGAGCATCGTCAAAAGGCCTTGCTTGATCTCAAAATTGTGCGCCTCAATAGGTGGATATTGGATGCTCGGCCGGAATCCGTCATGAGTCGGGATTATGTAATCTTGAAGTGCCCGTGGCCTAGCTGCTGGCTGTAATGGAAGTTGAAGGGGTGGGTCTTGGACTTGGTTCCCGTTGGCATTGAGTAAATTACCCTCTGCACGTATGCGTTCTTCGTCCTCCATTCTATTATTTTCGCGTTGAAGTCTCCTAGCGGCTCGAAAAGTTCGTTCGATTTCGGGATCAAACGGTTCTCTAGCAAGATCGAGTCTCCTGCGCATACAACGTACCTAAAACAAAAATAAAATAAAACGAAAATTCAATGGGTGAATCGTGAAAATTGTTCAAATCTAGAGCTAGAATAAAATAAATAATTAAAATAATCCCCGGCAACGGCGCCAAAAACTTGTTGGTCGAAAACCTACACGCAAGTGCACGTATCGTACAAGTAATATAGTGGACAATTAAGTCCGGATATCGAACCCACAGGGAATATTTAATTATCTAATCCTAGACGCTAAATTCTACCAATTATTATCAAGCCCACCCTACACAGTCGAATAAGGATTAATAAATTAAATTAAACTAAAGCAATCGAAAAGCAAGCAAAAACAAGAAAGCAATTTAAAACGAGGATTAATCAAAGTAGACAAGCCTAGGATTTTATTCTTCCCCCTATGTGATTATTACTCCCCCAATTCCTTCAATTATGCAAGCAATTAACCCGGATTATTAACCTGAGATGCTAAAATAATCATAACCCGCTTCCGCGTGTATTACAATTCTAATACTCTAGATTCAATTACTATATTCCTATGCAATTAATTCTAGAACACAGCATTAAGCACAAATCTCAATAATGGCTACCTAAGAGATCAACTATATTCCTATGTTAATACCACAAAGGCTCTTCTACCACAGTTCTAATTATTAACCCGATCTTCCGATTCATGCGATTAACAATAACATAAAAGCACATAAAGTGGCCAGTTTCATGAACTTAATAAAACAAGTAGAAGAAATAATCCGGAATTAAAACTTGCATAAAATCATAGAATTGGGTTCATAAATCCCACATAGGGTTCCAAATAAAATCCTAGAAACAAGTAATTTAGCTACTCATGATTAAAGCAAAAACGCAAATAAAATAAATCATAGGCGATAAATCTTTGCTTGAAGTCTTCGAATTCTTCGTCTTCGTTATTGCTTTGTGGCCCTTGAAATTGCGTAAAAAGATGGATTGCTAATTGTGTGCTTGGCTTGGTCTTATATAGGGTGAAAAACTTGGGGAAGAAGGCAGTTTCCTTGTACAATTAAGATTCCCTCACTGCGCCAACTCGCCCATCCGGACGGCCGTGTGAGATTTATGCCTAAAATCCGCACGGCCGCGCGGTCTATTCTCCAGAATTCTGCTTTTTTCACTTTTGGCCCATCTTTTCTCCAAAATTGCAGTTTTGACCCCATACTTTTCCAATTCTTCAATTTGTACCTAAAATACAATAAATCAACTTTTTAAGCACCAATTATCGTTAAAACACACCAAAAGCTCAAATAAAAAGATACGATAAAGTGTAAAAATATACACTTAACAAGTTGCCACCACCATCGTCGGCTAATCCCCACACCTTCAAATCCATGTACTCAAGCAACAAGAATTTAAGCATACCAAATTCGTCTGCCCCCACGTGCCACCTGTCGCCCTTGAACGCCATGTCGCGCAGCTTCAGCACCTCAAGACAAGGCAGCTGCCCGATAACCGTCATGTCTTCCCAAGGAAGTGCGCAACCGCTCAACCTCAACTTCACCAGTGTGTTTGGGAAGTGGTCGATGATCTTAGTCTTGGACATGAGTTTTGGTCTCGGTTGCACGACGGTGAATTTGAACGCCTGAAGATTTTGAAGTTGGCCGAGATGCAGACATGAATCAGTAGGGCCCGGTGGCGTTTTAGTCCACACGGCCAATTTCTTCAAGTTGGGCATGTTCTGAAGTACCTCCTTTGTGCAGGAGCCGGCGCTCACATTCGAAAGGGATTGGAGGTTGGCAAATAGAACGGAGTCCCCCTCATCGTGGCGGCGGTGGATGATTCCTGGCAAATCGCTCTCCGTAAAAACGAGGTGCCTTAAATGCGCCATGTTCCATATGACAGGCAGAAACGATGTAGCCACGTATATGATTTTGGGGTGTCGGCGTACCATCAGAATCTGGAGCTTTCGGAGATTGCATAATGTTGAAGGAAGTTTCCCATTGTAGGTGAGAGAGAGGTACCTCAAGTGAACGAGCTTAACTATCTCATCTGAGAACTCAATGAAACAGACCGTGAAAGCATCCAAAACCCGGAGGAGATCGAAAGTCAAACAGAAAGGTAACGGATGGTGATGGTGGGGCCCGGCGTAAAGAAGTGTCCGCGCGAACTTGATCCGTTTAACGGAATCGTGAACTTCTTCCATGCACATGAGGACATTTCTGTGGACACATATACGCCTCTGCGCGTCGGTATCTTCCGGAAGTTCTTGAACGTACTTCCTTCTCGAATGGAAGAACTTCTCCTTGCCGCACTCTTTCACGGACAAATCCCTTAAACTATCGTGCATGCCGCAAGCTTTAGTTCGGCTGTTTGAGGTGAACCCGCGAATATGAATGAGATTTCGATCGATAAGTTGTTCCAAAGACTCTGCAGCAACCTGCTCCACACTCTGCTGTTGTGCCAGTTCGAGAAATCCTTCGGCAACCCACAAACTGACGATTTTGGAGACGACAATCTCACTGTCTTCGGGGAAAGCTCCCATGTAAAGGAAACACGCTTTCAATCTGCCGGGCAAGTGGTTGTAACTCAAATACAAAATCTCCAAGTACGACTCGTCGCCTCTGGCAGCAGCAGCATGCGTGTCTTCTTCGATGCTCTCCCAGTAACGTCCCGTCTCGTCGCCTTGTGCGAAAAGCAGGCCGCCGACGACGGTAAGCGACAGAGGAAGCCCGCGGCAGTTTCTTGCGATCTTCAATCCGATATCCAACAAGTGAGGCGGGCAAGACCTCCTGTCGTCGTCCCGAAAAACCGTCTGCCTCAGCAGCGTCCAGCTATTCTCGTCGTTTAGAGGCTTCATTGTGTGAATGAAGTAACCGAACGTGTCGCGGGGATCAATCTCCTCCTCAAATCTACTAGTGACTACGTAATGAGCAATCTCTCGAAGTCTGCTGGTGACGACGATTCGACTGTTGTTGGCCGAATCCGGAAACGAATGTCTCAACGCGTCCCACGATTCTTCATCCCATATATCGTCAACCACAACGAGGTACCTGCCCCCCAGGAGTTCTTTATGCAGCCGGTCGGCTAACTTACTAGCACTCGCTTCCGTGTTCATCACACGATCTCTCCTCGACTTCTCGCCTTTCCTTTCAATCGAGGACAAGAGGTCGGAGTAGATTTCTTTCAACTGATAGTCTTGTGTCACAGTCACCCACGCCCGGATATTGAAGTGTTTCTTTACGTGGCGGTGATTGTAAATACTCCGGGCGAGAGTCGTCTTTCCGATACCGGGCAAACCGACGATCGGGACAACCGCGAGCTCGCACGTGTCGTTGAGTATCTCATCTTTCAACTTCTTCAAGTCTTCCTCTTGCCCCACAATCTTCTTGATAAAAATATTGGTGGATCTTGTCTCCCTAGTGTTTTCGGGCGATGATGTTTCGTTGATCGAGCTAGCGATTGCCTCTGCTTTCGTGATCAGAGGATCGATGGCGTCGGCTGCTATTATTATTATTTCCGGCAATAGTGCTGTATGGATTTGTTCTTGTCTGAAGATGAAGGATTCAATGTTGTCCTGTGCAGTGTAAATGGCCTCTCTGATTTGAACGTCCAAATTATTTACTTCATCTCGGATGCTTTTCGTCGGAACGATCTTTTCGAGGAGGGATTGCAACGAGACGAGCTTGCTATAGAGGGATTCGATCTCCGGGGTTCGATCGTAAATAAGAGGAAATTGATCGGGGTGTAAGATGTGAAGGAGAGAAACTACAGCAGAATATGCAGCCATTATCACTCGTCAAATTCTAAAACAGACAGCAAAATGTTATTTTTTGATGTTGGCAATTAGCATAGAAAGAAAAATGGGGAAATTACAGTTTTCGTCCCTCAACTTTGCACCAATTCCACATATAATCCTCCATATTCACAAATATAGTCCCTCGTGTTCCATGTTTCAACAATTTAATAGTTTTGTTCATTTTCGTGAATTTACCGTAAGTTCGTCAGTTAAGACAGTGATGGAAACATGTTTGATTCCGTTAGAAACTAAAGGAACTGGCCGAAAGTGATAAATTTTTGAAACATAAGGAACTAAATCTGTTTTTTTTAAACCTAGAGGACCAAATGTGAATTCGAGGTAAACTTTAGGGATAAAAAAGAGTATTTTTAGAAAAATAATTACAATTGAATTATTGGAGTTGGTAAATGCAGCTTCAAGTCAACGATGAGCACGGTAAAAACTAGTAATTAATTAAATAGCTGGACTCCAAATTAATTAAAATTGGTCAATTAGTTAGGTGTATATATTTACTCCAAAAAAAAAAGGTTAGGTATATATATAATTTATTGAAATTTGAGGATTTGATATTTACTTATTTAACAGAGCAAATGTCGCTATTGTGTTTGATCACTTGATTTGAAAGCCTAACTAAGCTATGTATTGATTTTTTTTTTTTTATTTTTTTTTGTCAAGATGATGCAATTTCTTATGAATAAAAAACTCATATAATTAGTTAGGTATATAAGAGTACAATTGAGGTTGTCTGCATCTTAAAGAAACCAAGGGTAAATGGTAAATTTAGACAGCTTATATGAGATTCTACACCTGAAGAATTAAAGAAACAAATGGTAAATTTAGACGGCTTATGAGATTCTACACCTGCAGAAATTTGTCACGTAATTTTAAATGGTTCGTGTTATTTTTGAGTTAGAAGGACTCATGCGTCATTTCATAATGCCAAGTTCTTCTCTATTTTCGACATTGAAAAAAAAATTACTGCAAAAAATCACCTGCATTCATCAAACAATGAACTCTTTATTAATATATATATATATATATATATATATATATATATATATATAATATATATATTACATACATGAAATTAAATCACCCATCTCAAGAAAAGAAAAGCTTATAAATCTTGTCTCAGTTTTTCACTGTAACGCAACACACTTTATTTTGAATGACGACTCTTAATTAAATGGTACGTAGGACTATGCACCCGATGCCGTATTAGATGCTACACCTGGCCGTTATTTACACTGAGTGGATTTGAACCGTAGATTTAATTGAGTAACTACAATTCAAATTCATCCACTGTAAATCACCAGGTGTAACATCTAATTTCCCGCACCCGATTGAGAGGTAACTTCATCTACAGGCACTGGTCCGTACTCATCACATACAAGACCTATCGAGAGATGGAATTCAGCCCGCCGTCTGACTTGCTGTTCATGTTGTCCTACCTTCCTCTTCTGCTGCTCCTCCTCCTCCTTCAGTTTCTTGATTTTCAAGGCAGAATCGGTAGCTGATCTGCAAAGGTTGTCTATTTCCAAGTTCTCGAGTTTCTCCGCCAGCTCCAGTGGGATTTGTCTAAGCTCCTTACAGTTCTTGATCGAGAGACACGTAAGACTAGGAAACTGGTCCGACGAGGCGGTCCAGTCGACTAGTTCGACGTCTGCAATGAGCAAGAAATGGAGAGAACAAAAGCCTTTATTACCTGCGGTGGCTTCCCAGGTTTTTCCTGCGCATGCGTTCTCTTTCAACTTGAGTACCTCCAGTGTATCGATCTTCGACAGTATCGTAGACACATCACTCCAACTCAAAAATGTTTTTGTTAAACTCAGGCTCTTCATTTTTCCCGGTAAACAGCTCGATCGAGGAATAAGGTGAATATTATTGCTCAGCTTATCATCATCGTCGCCGTCGTCGTCATCATCATCATCATCGATACTGTTCGATGATGATCCGATATACGTATCGTTCACGAGCTTCAACTTTTCCAGGTGATCCAATTTTGCCAAGAAATCTGTACGGAAAAGAGTCTGCAAATTCCCACGAATCCCCAGTTTCTTTATCTTGCACGTGTTTCTGGATACGTTATCCGTGCAAGAATGGTGCGACAATGTACCGAGCGTCTGGAGATTTTCACCGGCTACGTCTCCCCAATCTTTATTGAGCTTAATCGCGGCTTTAGTCTTGAGATGCCTCAGATGAATCAACCTCCATATATTGGCCTTCATGGTAATGCTAGTCGAATTTGTGTCCAATACAAAACTTTGTAGATTCCAGAGCTGGGAGAGGGATTTCGGGACGACTTTAAGATCACGAACATACAGGGTGATGTACCTCAAATGAATCAGTTTGTCGAGCTTCGGCGGAAACTGATGGAACCTGATGGAGACGGAATCCAAAACCCTAAGCAAACCGAAGGCATCGGAAATAGTTGAAACGTGCTCTTTTTGCAGATTAACTGGCTCGCTGGAGAAACGTAAAAAGGAACGAACTCTGGGGCCCTTAAGTTTCTTAGAGAAGAATCCAGATAGATCGTCGGAATGGAAACAAAGGCGGTGATAGTCTTCCATCGCGGTAACGGGTGGCTCGAAAACCCCGTTGCTCGATTTTTTAACCTCTTGGAAAAGACTCTGCTCGAGGGCTTTAGTAGTGCAGAATGTACGTATCAAGTCATGAACACGGCATGTTTTGATTTGGCCTGTGGGATTTGTTTCGCCAATCATCAACAAGTTCCTGTCGACGAGAGCGTTCAGTTTCTCGTCGGCACTCTCCTCCAAGGTTTGTCCTTCCCGGTGACGTTCGACGAATCCTTCCGCAATCCACAAGCGTGTTAGTGTCCAAGACGATATCTCGTGATCTTCCGGGAATACCCCCATGTACACAAAACACTCCTTTAGCCCATCGGGCAACCGCTCGTAACTCAATGCTACGACACTCGACACCTTCTCGCCTTTCAAGTAACTCGAGACATTTTCCGAAACCTTAATCCATTCTTTCCTCACCAAGCCTGTACTACGCCTACTCGTGTATTGGGACTGAAGAATTCCTCCAATCACAACAACTGTCAGCGGCAGTCCGTCACAGTCGTGTGCTATTCGTTTCCCGACGATTTCCAAGTCCTCGGGACAACCACCGACACCGTTAAACACCTCTAGTTGGAGGAGTTGCCAGCTTTCGTCCGTCGTAAGGAATCGCAGCGGATGCCCTCCTCTGACGCTAGCTCTCGTACCGACATCTTTTTCTCTACTTGTTATCATGACTTTGCCCGCCCCGTTTTCCATTGGGAAGACATTCTTTATCGCGTCCCAATGATCGACGCTCCACACATCGTCCAATACAATCAAGAACTTATCGTTTGCGAGACATTTGCGAACCCGCTGCTCCAGCTCGTGATCGTTGAGGCCGGACAATTTTCGGGAACGAGTGAACTTTTTGAGGATGTCGAGAAAGAAGTCTCGCCTGTTGAACTTTTGAGAAATGTTGACCCATATTCGAATCCGGAATTCGTGTTTGATATTATCGCTATCGAAAATCTTCCATGCCAGCGTCGTCTTACCCAGGCCGGGCATGCCGATGATGGAGGTAACATCGAGTTCGGTTTTCTCATCCGTGAGATACCCGATTATCTTATCTTCCTCGTCTTTTAGACCTATTACTTTATCTCGCCTGATTGTGCGATTCTGTTCACACAAAATAATCATTATTAAGCATGCAAAATTGGATTAAAAAAAATTCTTGCATTAATATTATTAAAAAAAGCATGCAAAATTGAATTTAGAGAGAAGACCAAGTCAACCCACATCAACAAACACAAGTAGATTGGAACGGGTCATCATTTTCTGTACGTTTTATAGTTTATTAGAAGATGAATGTGACATGCAACATGAAATTAT